TTTTTCTTATATGTACCCATTTCATGTATTCACAACTATGTATACACTTATACTTATTATCTTGTAAACAATTGGCAAATCAAATAAATAAATAAATAAATAAATTCCCCCACCACTGCCTTTGGCCTTCTGGAAGATCTTGGGGCCCTGTTGAGGTTGGTCTTTGTTGGGCGTGGCCCATGTGATAGAGAGGGATAACCCTACCACCATGGTGTCGGCCATCCTCATGGTTTTCAGTCTCTATGTAATCTTGTTCAATTTCAGTTGCCTTATAGCTTATCTCCTTTTTTTAAAATCATTTTGTAAACGGTCCAGGGTCACTTCGACAGCGAGAAGCTCAGCCACCATGGAAGAAAAGTGAGTGGCTTTGTAATGAAGTCACTGCCAGAAAACTTGAAATAAATGCAAACAAGGGATAAACTAAGATTTGTTAAAGGATGTATAATGAGAAATGAATAAATACGCTCAGATTTCATCAAGACTCAACCTTATGATTTGTAGGAAGAAAGTTTTATCTGATATGGGTGGAGCAGGGGTGTTTAACCTTTGCAGCATTAAAAACCTATTTCTTTAATTCTAAATTAAAGAATTCCTTCCCCTTCCGCAGAATAGAACTGGTACATAGCAATAGCCCTTAGACTTATATACCGCTTCACAGTGCTTTACAGCCCTCTCTAGGTGGTTTACAGAGTCAGCCTCTTGCCCCTAACAATCTGGGTCCTCATTTTACCCACCTCGGAAGGATGGAAGGCTGAGTCAACCTTGAGCCTGGTGAGATTCGAACTGCCAAATTGCAGGCAGCCAGCAGTCAGCAAAAGTAGCCTGCAGTACTGCACTTTAAGCACTGCGCCACCATGGCAAATAGTTTAGGGATTGACTTATGTTCACTATTCCTGATGGAAGAGTAGGGGGTCAGGAGAACCTTTACACAAATCTTCCTTGTGTGCAAAATGTGTGCCAGATCAAAGGATCATTCTCAAGTCACTCATACCCGGGTCATCTTCTTTTTGGATCATTCCAGTGTACTTTACATGAGGTTGCCCTTGAAGACCATTTAAATTATCGGTTATTATTAAGCTCTTCATGGCCCAGGGCAGAGTTATCTGTGGGGATACCTGTCTCCAATCGTCTCTACCTGTTCCATGAGATCTGGAAAGATGAGCAAGCTCAGGTCCTTTTTAGGAACATTTCTGTGGAATCCAGGAAACGTTGTTTCTCTGTCTCAAAGCCTTACTCATGGGACATTAATTATTTTCTCCAAGGTTTAGATGTCCTGACCCTGTTGGACTTCTGCAGGGCCCTGAAGGCCTAGTTTTCCCTCTGGCCAAATTTCTTGAACTCTGCATGAACTTGCCAAGAAAGATTTCTGAACAGTTTATGTAATGATTGGCTTTGTTATACCTTTATTCCCCTACTCTGTAATTCTATTTACTGTTCCAAGTTTCACTGTGTTTTATTTTTAGTTCATTTGTATTTTTTTTTTACAGTCCTTTCCAATTGTAAGACACCCTGTTTGCTAAAGGAGGTTAAAAAAACAGAGCTTCCAAATAATTAAAACATGGCCTATTATCTCCCAGCAACCAACTAAATCCCATGTCTAGGAAGTGGTTTCCTTAGCCAAAACCCAGGGTCAGGCCTACTATCTTCAGCATATCTTGTTTTGCTAGTGGGCATCTTGCCATAAAATGCAGAGGAAGGGGGAGGAAGATGGGGAAGTGGGAATTGGCAACGGGAGGAAGGGAGGGAATGACAGAGAGACAGGAACCAGAGGAACTGGAACAAACCAGCCAACCAGGGACAGACCATGAAAGCAGAATGTGAAACTACATCGAAGAGGCTGTTTTCCAAAACTCAAAGACACTCCCAAAACATCTAAAATGAATGTGACTGGACTCTAGTAGACTGGTCAAGGGGAGGGGGAAGGGAAGAGGCTTTGCAAGGGAATATTCAGATCCAGCTTTGCTTCTGCTGTAACCACTTAAACTTAGTAAAACTGAATTAGAATTCTTTTTTATTGGCCA